GCTCGGCTGGAGGGCTGGTTCTGACCCTGCTTCCGGCTGATTACAATTCTGGACTGAACTGTAGATCGGGCATTGTTCAGACCTTGGCTCAAAACCTGGGGGCCATGGGTGAAGACCATGTGCGCACACACACACACACACACGCACACGCACGCACACACACACACACACAACCACAATCACTTGTATGCATAACCTCCTTCCTTGCTCTTATCTCAAGTATTTTATTTTCCATGTCTAAACGAGCACGTCGCAGACATGCCAAATAGTCAATGCCTGTCCGTTTGGAGTGCCTGCAAGACTATTACGACGGGGGGCTACTGGGTTCAGGATGCCTGTGTCTGTGCGTTCCGAGGGTGACGACAGACCTTTGCCATGCTGATTCCCTGGCTTGGGCACTGGTGTAAACCTACAGTCTGCGGTGTTCTAGTTGTGGTGTGAGTAGGCGATAGGCTGCCTTGGGCCATGTTGGTCAAGTGGACTGCCTCGTCTTTCCTTCCTACCCACCTTCTTGCCCATCCGCTTGTCTTGTCTTTCCGCGCTCCCTCTCTGGCTTGTCGCCCATCCGCCTGCCTGGCAGCTTGCCGTGTTGGCTGCCCTGTTGCCTCACTGCTAGTTCCCTCGCTGCTCAGATCCCTTGCTGCTTACTTGCCTCAATGCCATGCTGCCTTGCCGCACTGCCGCTTGCCTTGTTGTTTGGTTGCCTTTTGCTGTGCTACCTTGTTGCATCGCTGCTGTGCTGCCTGCTGCCTTGTTGCCCATCTGCTTGCTTGGTCTTCCTGTGGTGCTCGCTTGTTGGCCTTGCAGTTTGACTCCCTTGTGACTGCTTCCTTGTGTCTTACTTCCTTGCTATCTCTTTGCCTTCCTGCCTGCTGCTTGCCTTCTCGATTGGCTCCCACGTCTACGCTGCTTGTTGCCTCACTGCCCTATCTAGTGCATACTGCCTCACTCTGTTGCCCAGACTGCTGCTCATACAGCCACCTCGCCACTTGCCTTCTTATCTGGCTGCCCACCCGCCTCCCCCGTGCCCTTCAGCTTACTATGCGCCTTGTTGCCCTAAGGCTCGTCGGGCTTGCTGGCTTGCTGCTGCTCACCTGCTCTCCCTGTGACCTCTGGCCTATATGCCTATATGCCTTGCTGCTGCAGCGCTGCTTGTCGTACAGTGCCTTGCTGCATTGCCCTTGCCTTGCTGCTTGTATTCCTCTAAAACATTATGTAACTCATTCATACTGGACTGAGAGTTCTTACAGGCCAATGTTAGGTTATCTGTTATTGCCCCCCCTTGCTGTAACAGTGCAGGATGCGGGAAGTTTGCCGAACGCAGACACCATGTCTGAATCGTGCGCTGGAAGACCTATAATCTCACTTATAGACCTTTATTCTGGGGCGTATGACCAATTTCCCATCTACCCGCCAGACATGCAAGTAACAGCTATGCATACGCCTAGAGGCCATCCACTTCAAACAGGGGTTGAAGGAGTTCATGACACAACAAATCAAGATGGGGATTTTGTAGATTGTCAAGGGTTCACCATCCTGATCAGTCGGATAAAGTCTTGCGAAACAGTCTGTCGTTATCCTCGCATATTTTTGTTTTTTGCAACTTGTTTTTTCTTCCCCCTTCCGGTCTCGGGCTTGTACTTTTCCTAATATCTTCCTCTCGTTGAGTCTGTTATAGAAATAATATGCAAATCGGGTTTAATAGGGGTGTGATATTTTGGGGGTTGCCTTCTGACTTGACTGACTCAGATGCTTTTTTCTTTTTAATTTTTTTTTTTTAAACTCCCTTCTGGATGTTAGAGGTGCTCATACGAGCAGACACCTCTAACACCTTAGGGGGACTCCATTTATTGGTCTCCTCCTGAGGTATTGTGATAGTATCATGGTGTATGGTCTCCATGCTGAGGAAGAACATACAATGACATGACATTGTGTTTCACACACATCATTGCACACACACACACACATACACACACAAACTCCCCCTCCCCCCCCCCCCCCCACCCACACACACACACACACACACTCCCCCCCCCCCCCCCCCACACACACACACACAACTATAGCATCTAATACTTATTTTTTCTTGAGTGTCTTCCTTGCATTGCTGTCCACTTCCTAATTGGTTTGGGTGGTTTGGCCTTGTTCCGTGTTTCATGTTCCTTATAGTCATTGTTGTTTGTCTGGAGTGCCTGTCTTCCCGGCTCAAAAGCCAGTGATGTGAGCCTACAGTCTGCAGGGTTTTCCATATCGTGCGAGTACAAGATAGTCCACTTTGATACTTGTTGCATCCATGGATCTCAGAGTCTGTGTTGTCATACTCGCTTTGCTGTGTTGGTGTATGCCTGCCTTCTCGCCACCCCGTCAGGTCACTGCACCTGCTGGCCTTGCTATGTGCTGCCTACTGCATACTGTGTTCCGTGCGTTGTGGTGTTCTTGTGTGCCCACCCTCCCACCCGCGTCCGCGGCGCTTGCCTTGCCATATGCTTCCTACTAGTTCCTAGTACATATACCGAATTATGTTATGTGCCTTTGCTGTATCATTGTGTTCCCCCCCCCCCCCCCCCCCCCCCCCCCCCCCCCCCCCCC